GTACAGGTAACTGTTGAAATTGGGTTTGCAGTTTATAAGTTCTGAGCTGGTGTGCTCGAAAACTGAAATGTCATTGAATTAGAACTGCCTTCTCCAACCTGGTTGCCTTCCAGATGTGGTGGGCTGCACCTTAGTACAATATTGCTAGCCTTTAATGCCCATTAAAGAGCACAGTCTTGCTCCTAGAAATCATTTGTTTTAAAAGGGTGGTCCGCCTTTTGCCAAATTATATGACTGGGGAGAGGAATGGAGATGCAGTGTCATAGAACTAAAATAATAAAGATATGAGCACATAACTGAGGAAAGAGTTATTTTTCTTGGTGCATTCTGGTCTGTCCCTTCATCCCCTGCTGGTTTGCCTTCCTTTCAGATATGCTTGTACCAGAGCTCATGACTTCTTGTAGCCTTTGATGGCATGGAAGCCATCGCATATGCTTGCAGCTGCACTGTTGTCCTCAGAGGTAAACACTACTGTTAAGAGGGAAGCTGAATTTTTGTTGTAGAAATCCCCAACCATTTAAACTCTGTTTTCAGGGCAGGGATGAATAAAAAGCAGAAATGGAATTGGAACTGTGAAAAAAATGAGGAAGAAAAGAAATGGGCCAGATCCTACAGACATGGGAGAAAAATTTTTTCTTTCACAGCCCTGAAATTATTATAATGTAGAAGTACTGAAATCTAACATACTTATTTGGGAGAAAGTACCATGAAAATTTGAGTAAATAGGTAATGATTTCTAAGTGGTAGATCCCCCACCCCGACTTAAAATTCTTTTTTTATGAAAAGCCATGAAGTGTTAACAAATTAATGCACTCCTTAAGTCATTGGCTGCACTTGGACATAAATATGCTGTTTTTTAAACAAACTTCAGGCTTGTGAGCTCCCCCTTCTGTTTCCTTCTCCAGTGTGGTTATAAGGAGGAGACTGAAGCTTTTGCTTCCATTTTTAATTACCTGCAGCTTAGCATTACACCCAAACCCTAAGATGTAATGACTCTTTACAATTATTTATTGAAACAAGTCAATTTCATAAACATCAGTTTTATTAAATCTTTTAGTAGGCTATAGTTATGACTAACCCTGTCTGGTTTTGGAGATAATGCTAAACTGTGATTAATTGGGGGGGGAAAAGGAAAGCAAATGTGCCCATTTTGTCTGGTGCCAGCCTCAGAGAGGGAGATGCAGGGAGGTATAGACCCATGAGCCAAAGGCTCTTTCATGTAATTTTAAACTCTAATTTATAGTTATGTCTAAATTCAGTGTTTATAAATGTAGGAGGTAATAATTGTGAAGAGACATTGTGAAGGGCAGAATATTAAAGCTTAGATAGATAGCACTTGTGCTAATGCGCAGTAACACAAGTGGAAGAAAATCCCTAAATTTGTAGAAAGCCTTTCTACCTAGCCAGATTGATTGTGCATTAATCGTGGATGAACAAAGCTGCCTGCCCCTGCCATGAAGAATGGCTAGCAATGCTAGTTTGAACAGGCTCTTGTCTTTTACCAGCAGTTGCAGTTATGTTAGGATTCACTTTGGACTTCTGGTGGAGGACCAGGGAAGTGAATCTGGAAACTACATCAGGACAGGTAGAAGTGCTTTATCTCTGCCTTTAATCGGCAGATCCATTGTGCAATGCTGCTAGGAGGAAGAGCAATAAAAGTGGGACTGATCTAGCAGCAAAATTTCAAGGTGAGGAGTTGTTATCTTTTGTAGTTGGGTAGAAGATCTGGATTTAGCTTGGTTTAATCATCACATATGGATAAGCATCTTGATAAACAGGAGATCATGCTGAACTTTGATCCTCTGTAAAAAGGTAATGGGACTCCCCTTTTAGGTAAAAGGTACCTTTCCATAAGACAAAGAGGGATTTATTAGCTGGTGTTCTGTGTAGCTCCTTTGACAGCTGACCTTAGACTTAGAAAATGAAAAATTTGTGTAGCTTCTCCACTGTTACTGCCGAAAGTTGTCATATTGATCATACATGTATTTCTAGAAGCAAGAATTAAAATGAACTGAACCCCTTTCAGTTCAAAGGGCAAATTTAATTCTGAGGCCACACTGGGGCGACATGTTCAAAATAGTGCTTGCAACTGAAGGCAAAAGGAATAGAATTCACGTGGCAGCATTTCTTGGCTTTAAGCTTGTGCTGCCAGTAACTTAAATTCAATTGAGAAATACCAGCCTTTTAGCATGGGGGAAAACTGCATAAAAGCTGGGAAAGGCCAGAATGAGATCCCAGATCCCAGTTTTTGGTACCTGGTTTCTTAGGTTTAAGAAAAATAAATTACTCTGGCCAGATCCGCAGTTGTGTATAGGGAATAGGGGAGGAGAACTGTGCGAGCTACATCTTAGTACATTAGCAGCAGAGGAAGTTGTTTTATTTGGAGTCAGACTATTGATCCATTCAGCATTGTCTACACTGACCGTAAGTGGCTGTCTGAAGTTTCTGGCAGTACTTTCTAGCTCCATCTGTGAATCCCTGGGATTGAACCTTAGACCTTCTGTAACCAGTGAATGATCTTTTCACTGAAGTACAGACCCTCCCTGAACGATTGTCTTGCTCATCAACACAAATTAGGGTTCAGCTTTATTTACTTATAAATTCCTTTTTTCTTAAAAAGCCTTAAAATAAGGGACAAAAGTGCTAGGAACTTGTGAGGAAAAGAATTGTCATATAAACTTTCATAAAAGAACCTTTTAGAGCCAATATTAAGATCTATATCAAGGAAAAGTTCAGTAAAATTTAAATTTTGATTTCATACAAATATTCTTCAAAAGGAGAATTTGCAAAATTTAAAGAGATTTGTAATTAAATTTCAAAGTAGAGAGTGAAGCTTTTCTGGTTTTATCATCTTTGTTGCAAGAAATAGATTGTCTGTTCTCTTTTTTGAATTGTAGTTGTTCATAATTGCGAGTTCTTTGATTTCCTTCCAGATCAGATTTGGCAAGCCTCTGTTTTCCCATGGCTCTTTGTAGGTTGACTGTATCATTGTTGGCACCAGGTATCAGAAGCTCATGCACCTAATTTTCTCCACTTGTGGCAGTACAAAAAAATGTTAATAACATTCTAGCGTGGAGCACCCTGTGGATGGCATTGCTCACTGTACACCATAGCAGGCTTCAGTAAAGCAAATGCCATACCCTGACAGGGACCTTTCTTTGACGGAGCCACAGCAGGTCAGAAGTTGAAGAACAAGTTTGGGGAGCAAAATGCAGCACCTTTACTGTGTGTTTGTTTAGGATAACCTTAATGACTTGGGTGACAAAGGGTCTGATGATCTTTAAATGTTTAGGTTTTATTTAGGGGGAATGGGGCAATGGTTACATAGAGAAAAATACGGAAATGGTAGGAGAGGCTCAAAGAGGTTCTTTATTCCTGGAATAATGACACCCCCTGCCACCTCCATTTCACTTGTAATGGGGCTAATGAATAAGGCAAACTTGCTTTTCAAGCTTAGCTTGCTGGACTCACTACGTGTGAAACGGCTGCTCAGGGAATGCATTGCCCAGTGACAGTCTTAATATCAGCAATTACTAGCTAGTACCTCCAAGGAGAAGTCTATTCATTTGAAAATACTTGCAAAGTGTGCAATAGATTGTATTGCAGTTGAACATAATTACATATCACTTTGGATTAGTCTTTCATAAGGCTGTCTTCAGGCTTAGACACTAATTTATCTTTCAGTGATAATGAAGCACTTTTTGGATAGCCCTCTTACATGATCACCAAGAGATAGTAGTATACCAGCACCTTACTTTTCGTAGGAATCAGCAAGAAAGTATTATCAGACGTACATGTTATAACAGAAGACAAGCTTTCTGCACGATACGAACCTTTGGTGTTGGCAAGTGAAATTGATTAGGTAGTGGATTCAGGAGAAGCTAAAAGAAAAATACTTTACACAGCACAATTAATGTATGAGACTTCGTCAGCGTCTGGGGCATGGGCAACTGATTAACTGGCAGGGGCATTAGGACCTAGGCAGCCAGCTTAGGACTCAAGGTTCAGTCCAGATTGTAGTCAAGCAGTCCAAGGTCAGAACCAGGAGTAGGAGAGCGAGGTAGAGTCAGTCCAAGGGGCAAGGGGCAAACAAGTCAGGAGTCAAGAAACCAAGGTGAAATTACCAAGGGGAGCCGGCACATGAGGGCTGGAGCAGGAGACGGAGTGAGCAAGCAAGGTCAGGAAGTCCAGGCAGCACCCAGGAGCAAAGGGCTGCTATGCTGGCCTAGCATCTCTCTGATGTTCGCTTTTGCAACTCAGCTTAGTTGACTGAGTTGATCCAGGGAACCCGTTGTGGGTAACTAGTCATAGTGGGGTGTTGTGAGAACTTCCTGCAGGGATGCTTTTTGGGCACAACAAGGCCCCCTGACAACCCATGGCTTGTTCTAGAGGTTGTTGTATCTGCAGTGTATCATCCAAGCACAGCACACAGATCTTATGACGGTCCAGGGAAGCTGCAAGTGAGCTGCTTGGTAAGCGTACAGAAGCCCATGCTGCTCTTGCCAAGCTTGTCCAGCTCAAACCACACGCTGGAGTGATGGTCCCGGCCTGCTCCCCCAGCTGTAATTGTATGTAATCTTTTTGTCTTTGCTGCAGATTCCGCCCCTGCCCCCTTATAATAGAGAGATCCTTCTCTTTGGTCTTGCCTAAATGTTGGTAGCATTGTCAAGAGAAACCTGTCTCACCCCTTTTGGGGTAGCCTTTTGCCTCTCTGCAAAGATATTTTCCAGAAAGCATTTTTCTGTCAAGTTGTTAATTTCAGTTTGATTGAACATGCTCCCTGATTGAAGCGTGTTACCTTCTGCTTCTGCCCCTTCTTTTCTCGATTCATTTTGTGTCTTATACTTGTGTTTAACTTGCTTAAAGCTTCCTTGAGTGTTGGTGTTAATGGAAACCCGGATTGAAAGACTTTTAATCAACCTGACTTGTACGCAGCTTCTGTTCTTTCTGATTTGGCTTTGTTCTCTGTCTCATGGACTCTCTATTTTTTCTTTTTTTAGGATGCCATCACTATGTATAAAGACATCTTTCTGCAGTTTTTAAACGAAATAAGACATGCTGTTAATGGAAAATGCGCTGGAATTGAGGCCTGGCAATTGATAGCATCAACAATTACTTCTACCCTTCTAATTGTGCAGCTATACATGTTCATGTTCCAACAGGAAAGTAAGTGCCATGCATTCCTTTTGTGAGAAATGGAGCACTTCATAATGCTTTCATATAGCCTGATGATATTCTGCTTGTGCTTCTCAAACAGGGTTCCTTGGTCCTGGTATAAAGAGGGTGTTTTTGGTGACCTAATGCCAGGATTAAGACGAACTCATCTGAGGTGGTACAGCATGATCACACACACACACACACACACACACACACACACACACACACCATGCAGCAGTTTAATATGGCCCAGATTTAATATAAAAAAGTAAGTTGCTAGTCCTCATGGTAGCAAAGTGATACTTGGAAAATTTAACAGCTAACTTCTGAAGGACTAGAAAGGAAATAACGGGGAAAACTCTCTCAGACTTTATTTCCAAGTCTGGTTGCATTCAGATAAAATGCTAATCTAGGCCTGGGCATCTTTGGACAATCTGGGAGCCACATGCCTCTGTCTGGAACTCACTGAAGGCGATACTCACTTGCCCTGCTGCTGACAAATTGTCACTGAATTTTAGCAGCAATTGGGCATCAAGGAAAAAAGCTGAATTTTTCCTTTAAAACAAGGTGCTTAGGAAGAACACACCTTGTGTTAATGCAAAATCCCGCTTCTGCAACTTTCTGGACCATGATTTTGCATTAAGCAAGGTGTATATTTCCCACACAAAGTGAAAATATGCCCTTTTTGCTGCCACTACACATTGCTGAATTTGTGAAACTTTATGGTGGCAGAGGCCATAAAATTAATGGTGGGTGCATGTGGCTCACCCTGTGTTGTGAAACCATTGTTCATTGCTATGAGACCACTCATAGGTAAGCCTCGGGCTCCTTTGTCCCCAGTCCTCTGGCCTGTCTAGGAAAAGGAAATCAGAAGCTTCAGTTTCTTCTTTTTAGATTAATGACAGTTTACATGTTATCCAAATTCTAAACTGAAGTTAATCTCAACTGTGGTTTGTCAAAACAAGTAAATTTCATAAACTATGGGTTGATGTTGACTTATTACTACTATACTTAGTTGAGGTCAGTCATAGTTTGCCTTGGTCCTGAAGACTTAACAAACTGTGCTTAATCTAAAACAGAAGCTAAAGCTTCCACTTGCCTCTTTCTAGCCATGTCACTAGGGGAATGGGAGAGCATGCCAGTCCACGGTTCAACATTATATCACAAGCCTTATATTTTGGAAGATTCCAATAATTTAAAAATTAGAGGCTGTTGAATAATGGCCACTTGTCCACCAAGTTTAGTTCTTATTGGCATTGTTCATGAGGACAACATATACATTGTGTAATAAAATGCAGCAGCTCCTCAAATTAGCCATGGCCACTCCATCTCGGAGTTATTTCTGCTATGACGCTTGATACTGAAGAAACCACATACTTGCTGTAACAAGATGTGGTTGATCTAGAGGTGTATGCATGAGCACGGGTAATGTGTATGCATGAGCATAGGTAGCTCATCCGGGGAGCATGGTACTTGTTACTTAAAATTTAACATTTTAATTACAGGTTTATTTGGTAACACTTGGAGAGCATTTCAGAGGAAACAGTTTTTCACTCCCTGCGAGGAAGCTATTTCCCCCTTTTTTGGTATTTATGTGGCCTATTTTTTTCCACTAGCACATTTGCAGATGTGTTCTGAGCCCTTTTCCCATGTGCAGATCCTGAATAAACTTTTACATGAGGGAGATTTTTCCCATGCTATGCAGCATTCTTTGGAGCTAGGAATTTTGAATGCCTCCAGCACTTTCCTGTAAGAGCCACAGTTTTGTGGCATTGGGCAGTGTCAGTGTGCATGCTTGCTAGCTGTTCATTTGGAGTTCCTCTCCATCCTGCTTGAGAGCATCTAGGGAAGCTTCACAACCAGGAGGGATTATGGTGTGGGTCAAGACCAGTTCTCACTGTGTGTAAGGAGCTAATATCTAGTTACTTGCTTGCATACACCATCATGGTTGCTTTTCTCATTGACAATGTTCAGCCCCTGCATTTTCTGTAGGTTTTGTGCGTGGGGGGGGGGGGGGGGGGAGGGGGGGGGGTAGGGGGGGGGGGGGGGGGGGGGAGAGAGAGAGAGAGAGAGAGAGAGA